GGAAAGGGCGGCTGGGCGGTGCAGGCGAAGGGCCGGGGGTTTCGGGGAGAAGGGCTTCCTCTCTGCCGCAACAAAGCCGCCGGGCCTCGGCCACGGAGGGATGCTGCCGGCCGCTTCCAGCTCCCCTTTGCACGGAGAGCAGCGGCGCCTCTTCCCCTCGCCCAGCCCCACACGGGCCTCCGAGGGACGCCGGCTCAGCCCGGGTGGCCGAAGCGCAAAGGCCCCGGGGGCTCCACCCGCCGCCCCTGCCCAGCCTGCACGGGAGGCCGCGTCGCTTCGCTTTCCTCGGAGCGGCGCAGGGATGCCGGCCCGGCTCCGGCTCTTGTCCCGGCGACGCCTGCAGGCTCCGGTGCCGACGGGCGAGCCAGGAGCCGCAGCGCGCAGCCCCATCCCTGCCTACAAAGGGGCGCAACTCTGGGGCCGCTCCGGGGACGTCGGGCACCGCCACGGGCCACCCGCGAAGGCGGACCTGCCGGGCGAGCGGAGCCCCCGCGGGAGGCGAGGCGGAAGGAGCCACGCGGGGCTGGGAAGGGCGCCCGGCACGCAGGTAACCCCGAGCCCCAGCCGGGGATCCCCCGCCCGGCTCCAGCGCCCGCCCGCCCGCCCGGGAAGGAGGGAGGCCGGCGGGCCTTCGGGGGAGCCGCTTCCCCGGGAAGAGACGCCGAGCCGGGCCTGCGGCGCATCGCCTGCGCCCCTTCCCCGCGTGGCTGCCTCCCTCCCTCCCTCCCGGCCCCGGCAGAAGAAAGAGCCGCCGCCGCTGCACGTGGCCGCCTCGCCCCCCCCCAACGCCCCCCTCCCCCCCCCTCCCCCCCCGCCCTCCCTCCCCCCCCCCCTCCCTGCCTCCCTCCGTCCGTCCAGAGAACGGAGCCATCATGGCTTCCCCGCCGCCCCCGGAGGCTCCCCGCCCGCCCGCCCGTCCGTCCGTCCGTCCGTCCAGTGCCGCCGCCGCCGCCAAGGCTGGCAGGGATGGAGAGGCTGGCAGAGGGCGGGGGGGAGGGCGGGGGTCGCGGGAGGAGGGAGGGAGGGAGGGGAGGGGGCGTCTGGGGGCCCCGGGAGGGCCTGGGCGCCTCCACTCACCTGCCCGCCCGCCTGCCGGTTGTCCGGGGGTCCGCCTGGCGCTGGGCCGGGCTGGGGGTGCCGCTGCTCCGGCTGCCTCTCCCGCCGCCGCCCCGGCCGGCCGCCCAACCGCCCCGCGGACCCGCCTCCGCCGCCGCCTCCTCGCCCGCCGAAACCAGCGCGAAAAATGCCCCGCGTTGATTGGCTGCCACGCCGCCTTCGCGCCGCCGGACCCGCCGCGCCCCATTCAAACCCGCCGCCGCCGCCGCCGCCGCCGAGCACGGAGCCCCCCCCCCCCCCCCCCCCGGCCCCCCCCCCCCCCCCCCCAGGCTCACCCCCGCCACGGGCAGCGCGGGCCCCGCGTGCACCTCCGCCGCCTGGAAGGGCCGCGCCTCCTGCAGGGAGAGCCTGCCCGTCTCGGGGTCCCGCCTGCAGCGCCAGCGATCGCGCCCCGACCCCGAGAGCTCTTGCCCCGCGGCGCCCCCGCAGCAGCCTGGCGCCCGCGGACGCCCGCATGGGCATCTCCGCCCACCAGGGCAGCCCCTTCCCTTCCGGCCCAGCCTCTGGGCACAAAGGGCCGCCTTTTGCAACACAAAGGGGCCCCTGCCGCCCCCGCCCCCGCCCCCGCGGCAGGGAGGGCCCAGCATGGAGGGGTCCTGGGTAGGGGAGCCCCCCCTCCCCCACATCTGGCTGGTCAGCTCCACAACAGCTGCCCAAGGGAGAACTGCAGGCGGTTGGGGGCTCAGCTGGGAGGATTTGAAGTTGGGGACCCCACCAATCTCCCACCCGCTGCCCTTTGCGGGAAGCCCATCCTGGGCGAACCTACAGTCGGTCCAGCCCACGGTTGTGATTGAAAAGACTCAATCTGGTTTCCCTAAAACAGAACTAGGGAAAGTGATGTTACTTGGGATCTGATTTCAAAGGACTTTGGGACGGCCAGAAAGAAGGAAAGAGGCCTGAGACCTCAACCGGAAAACTGCGGATAAGATTCCAGGAGAGGAAGACCAGAGAGCAAAGATCCAGGATGGGGTCTTGGGGCTCAGCTAGGTCAGGGATCAAGGCACGAAGATTAGGGGCAGCCATTCAGACTAGTAGCCATGAACAGAAGAGAGAGTTTTGTAAGGTTAGGGTTAGGCCTCGACTTAGGACCACAATTGAGCCCAAAATTTATGTTGCTGAGCGAGAGATGCGTTAAGGGAGTATTGTCCCATTTTACGACTTGTCTTGCCACATTGGTATTTGAATTGCTGCCGTGGTTAAACCCAATTGTGAAGTGAATCTGGCTTCCCCATTGATTTCGCTGGGCAGAAGGTTGCATAAAACATGACCTTGGACATGCAACCGTCATAAATGTGAGTCAGTTGTCAGGCATCCAGTTGTAAATGGTGCGACCCTGGGGATGCGGCAAAGGTCCCAAGTGCGAAAAATGGTTGTAAGACACTTTTCAGTGCCGTTAACAACCGTGGGTCAAAGACTCCCTGTATTACATTTTATACCTCCACCTTTACTCGGTGTTTACTCATAAAGTTAATCTGGCTGCAAAGCCTGCTTGGAGAATTAACTATTGGGGCTTCATGGGGGGGGAGGGGGGTCTTTTCCATGCTGCAGTGGGCAACTTCATTTGTCTTTGTAGTTTGTTTTTCTGTCTGCTTCTTCTCTCTTGGGGGGAGGGGCACAGCTGCTCTCCCCACGTGTCTTTAGGTTTTAAAGTTTTTTAATTATTTGTTTTAATAACGGTATATAAATGTATCGACATTTTATAACTGTAAGTTTCCCAGACTTTCCCTTGCGTAAGATGGACAGCCAATAAAAACCATAAATAGACAGATAAATAATAATCTCCCTCAAAGAAATTGGTTTAATAAAAATGGGTAAAAGTAAAATATCACGGAAGGAAAGAGTGGGGTTAGTGCAAAATGAGGGCTATGTCCTTCATCCTGGATTTCCCAATTTTTTGCTTCTCCATTTCTTTATTTCCGCTTTCAACTTTCATAATGCAACAAATGCATTGTAATTTTATCTTAAGCCTCCAAACTTTTGTTTCCATGACAAATAAAGTAAATAAATAATTCACTTTTGGATCAGTACGTGCTTTGATTAACATGTCTGGTTTGTGTGCTACTTAAAAGCAATCATTGGTTTCGGTGGTGAAATGCACTGACCTTCGCTACCGGTTCGGAAATGTGAACGCTTGTGCTGCTTCTGTGCATGTGCAGAGGGTCAAAAACGGGACATAATGACGTCCCAGCGGGTGGGCGGGGCCCTACCGGTTTGCAGGAGCCGGATAGATCTGGGTGGATTTCACCGCTGATTGGTTTGTTACAATGATTTCTGAAGCCAGTTATAGCTCACTCGACAGATAAGAAATCATGGCTTCTTATGAGGCTTAAAAACCAGAGACTTAATCCATGGCCAGGGAGCCCTCTTTTCCTGTACTGACTTGGAACAATGAATGCCTGAACCTTTTCCTTTCTCCCACGGTGGAAGTTACAAATTCATCATAATAAACCAGAGAAATCAAGTCAGGATCTCCTCCTACAGTATAAGTGGCCTGCCTTGTTTCTGTTAAACGGCTACAGTTTTTCTGGGCCATCTAAATTACTTGCAAAGCTTTTCAGTTTCCAGGATCTCTCTGGGTAGATAAAAATGCAAAAGGAAAAAAAAAGAGGAATTTTCTACCTTTGGGAAACAGGCGCTTCAGGGACTTGATATACAGCTAATCCTCAACTTACAACCTCAATTGCCCCCCAAATTTCCATTGCTAAGCAAGAAAGTTAAGTGAGTTTTGCTCCATGTTGTGACCTTTCTTGCCAGTTAACTGAATCATTCCAGTTCAGTGAATCACAGGGTCATTAAGTGAATCTGGCTTCCCATTGACTTTGCTTGTCAGAAAGTCACAAAAGGGGATCCTGTGACCCCGGGACACTGTGACCGTCATAAACCCGAGTCTCTAGTTGTCTCTTTTCTCAATGCTTTGTGGTCACTGTCCGGTCCCTGAAGGAAAGGTTGTAGGCCTGTCACATGTAAGCCAAAGGCTGCCTTTCTATTCCCAGGGCAGCAGCCAAAGAAGCCGATGCAAATCCTAGGCTGCGTTGAGAGCGGGAGAGAGTCAAGGGCATCACTGAATTATTAGCAGTCTTTTATGATCCTTTGATAAGGCCATGCTGGGAAGCCTCCCTCCAGTGCTGATCACCACTATATAAAAAGCCGTGGAGACTTTGAAAAAAAAAGTGCAAAGAGGAGCAACTAAAACGATTAAAGGCCTGACACGAAGAAAGGTTGCAGGAACTGGCTACGGCCAGTCTAGAGAAAAGAAGGACGGGGGTGGAGCGGGGCAGGATTAGCAGTTTTGCAATATTGGAGGTGCTGCCACAAAGCAGAGGGGGTGGGGGTGGGGGTGGGGGGTCAGCCTATTCTCCAAAGCCCCTGAAGGCAGGAGAAGCAACCTGGAAGCAAGGAGGAATTTCCTGACAGGGAGAACAATCGACCGGTGGAGCTTCTGGGGCTCCATCCCTGGAGGTTGTTAAGAGGAGAGCGGACAGCCGCTTGTCTCAAATTGCATAGGGGCTCCTGCTCGAGCAGAGGGCTGGACTAGAGGACCTCCGAGGCCCCTCCCGCGTCTCTTACTCTGCTTATGTTTATGCAACCAGCTTCCCGGGGCGGCCCTGCAGGCGCACATAGGGCTGCATCGCATCCAAGCCCCGGGGCCTTTTAAGAAGAGACCGGACCGTCGTGGTCGGGGCTCCTGCTCGAGCAGGGGGCTGGACTAGAGGGCCTCCGAGGCCCCTTCTTGGCAGCCACAGGCGACCCTCGCCTCCTTTTTCCGCTCTCCGAGGCGGCCGCAGCACGTGGCCCTCCTTCCCGCCGCCCCTCCCCTCTCCTCCCCGGAAGACTCCACCTCCCGGCGTGCCCCGCGGCCACTTCCGCCCCCGCCCAGGCGCAGACCGGCTGGCAGGCCCAGGCATGGCGGCGTTCGTGCTGCTGAGGCGATGCGCGCGGAGGGCGCCGGGGCTGCCCCGGACGGGCTGCGGAGAGGCCGCCGCGGCAGGTGAGAAGGAAGGGCCGGGGGAGGAGGAGGAGGGGGAGGGCAGCCTTGGCGGGCAGGAAGGGCGAAGGGCGGCCGACCCCCCTCCGGGGTGGATCCCCTCAGGCAGGGGAAGAAGCTTCTCTCTCTCTCTGTGTGTGGGGGAGGGGAGGGGGTGGGGGGGCGGCTGAGGGCCCCGTCCGTGAGAGGCGAAGCGGCTTCTCCGGAGGCCCCGGGAGCCCTTCCCTTCCCGGGACGCTATTATGGGATGTCCCCGGGTCTCCTCAGGTAATCCCGGCCTGCCCGGGAAGGCCCCGGATGCCTCCCTGAGAGGCTTAGCCAGGCCGGCCGGGGGATCCGGGGCCCTGTGTGCCGATACACACGTCCTCCTCCTCCTCCTCCTCCTCTCCCGCCACCACGGGGCCACAGCTGGGCTTTCCCTCGCGGGTCGGAGCAGGCGGGATTGGGGGGTCAGGGGGAGACGGGGTCGCCCCCCTTGGAAGAAGCCCCCCCCGCGGCCCCCAGCCCCTCAAAGGCCGGCCGCAAAGACAGGCGGTCCTCGACTTACGGCCACGGCATGGCCATTGGGACCAGACACTTCAGTCAGTTTGGCCCCATTTTATTAGCAGTTGTTAAGTGAATCCGGCTTCCCCGTTGACTTTGCTTGTCAGAAGGTCACCAAAGGGGATCCAGTGAACCCGGCTGAGATGGTCATAAGTATGAGTCAGTTGCCAAAAGGCTGGATTTTGATCAGGTGACCCATGGGGATGCTGCCGCCGCAACGGTCATAAGTGTGAAAAGCAGTCCTAAGTCCCTTTTTCCGGGGCCATTGTAACTTCGAATGGTCCCTAAATGAACTGTTGTAAGTCAAGGGCTACCTGTACATGCTGAATATTCCAGAAAAACGAAAATATAAGAGTCGGTGCCTACATGCACAGGAATTATAAACACAGAGGGGAAAAGCTTAAATAGTGTCTCCTAAGGTGAATCAGCAGCTTCTTTGCCTGGCGGGAGAAGTAACCGTGCAGATATTATCGCCGTGGTTTCTCCTTTCCCCATCAGAGGTGGCTGCGTTCGTTCCTCTCAGGGCTTCTGGTTTTAATGCCAGGGACTGGCAAGGACCAATTCTTCATGGTCCCTTCAAGCTCTTTATTCAGGGAAAAAGGTTTTTGAGCCCTTTGAGAGACACCTTTGGGGCACCTGCAGTTTATACAGTGCCTGTAAAGACTGCACTATTTTCTGCACAGTCTGCCTTTGGGGGAAACATATTCAGACACCCATTGTCCTATGCACAGAAAAGAATTTCAGAAGTTGTGGGAGCATCATCACTGGAGGCTTTCAAGAAGAGGCTGGGCTGGCATCTGTCAGAAAGGGTGTAGGTAGGGTCTCCTGCTTGGGCCCTGGGGGTTGGACTAGATGACCTACAAGATCCCTTCCAACTCAATCTGATTTTAAAAAAAAGAATTAATCAACTCTGAATTTTTATAGTTTAAGTACAGGTAGTCCTTGACTTGTAACGGTTCATTTAATCACTTTAATGACTGTTTGAAGTTACAACGGCACTCAACAAAGTTGACTTATGACCATTTTTCACCCTTAAGACCGTTGCAGCATCCCCAGGATCACAGGATCAAAATTCAGACGCTTGGCAACTGGTTCATACTTATGACCACCTGACAAGCGAAGTCAATGCGGAAGTCAGATTCACTGAACAATCCTGTTGCCAACTTAACAACTGTGTAACGAAAGGTTGTAAAATGGGGCAAAATTCAGTTAACAAATGTCTCACTTAGCAACAAAAAATTTGGGCTCAATTGTGGTTGTAAATCAAGGACTTCCTGTAATTTCTTGCTGTGTGAGCTCTAACAAAATCCATTGAAGGCTCTTGTACTTGATCTTAACTATGGCATTATTTCTTCCTGAAGTATTGAATAGTGTGTGGAGAAAGTTATTTTGATATCAGACTGGTACAAGTGTAATGTTCTTATCTATTTCTGGCCTGCTTGCCTACCCAGACTGCTTTTTTCCTACTTGTAGGTCATTTGGAGAACCTTGCTTGTCTTAACTGTTCCTCCATGAGGCTAATAAAAGACATGTAAGTATGAATCTTTGTAACGCCATTACGAGTAACCTGCTTATTTTGACAGTTTACAGAATGGAGGGTCTTATATATAGTTGGTATATATATACATGTTTGTAATAAATAATTACAAAAGATTGAAACATTCTTTGAGGTGTGGCTTAAAGTTTAGCCTTTGATTAGGAGATGATGGTTGTGTGGTTCTTTTACCTTTTTACAGTACCAAAATAGGCTTTTCTCTTTAATTTCTTCTCCATTTCTGTTCAGTTACAACTTCCCATATTCATCCGGTTTTGTTTCCTCCCTTCTCAGTGAAGTCTTCCCTGTTCCTATCGCAGTCCTCTCCCATTATTTTTATTTTATGGTTTGTGTTGGATATTGAATGGGGTGTGCCTATGTTGACATTATTTGTTATTAAGATGGAAGAGTTACCTTATTTTATAGGTAGTACAGCTTAGTCAGTAGTTCTTAATTAAAGGATTTTGTTTTGACTTTGATGGAATATAACTTCTGGCAAGTTTGTTTGGAGATGCATATGTTCATAGACTCACATAGATGTTGTGTGAGATGTGTCCATATTTATTCCAGAGGGAGGAAGTCTGCAGGATTGGTCTCAGCTGGATTTCACCTTAGGTTGATAAGGAGAGAAGCTGGGCACTGCAGAGGATTTTGCTTATCTTTTCCTATGATGTGTGGACATATTTTGGGTAAATAAGATGCCTGCCTTAAGGTTGTTAGTCTATTTTGGCGTAGCACAGACAAGCTTAAATTTGAACAATATAAGGAGCCTTGGTGGTGCAGCAGACTAAAGTGCTGTTAAGTAGCATTTAGCTGCCAGCTTCCTGCAATTACTGCGAGTTCAAATCTCACCAGGCTCAAGGTTGACTCAGCCTTCCATCCTTCCGAGGTAGATAAAATGAGGACCCGGATTGTGGGGGCAATAAGATGACTCTGTATAAAAAAGAACACCGCTTAGGGGACCCCTGAAAGCCCTACTAAGCAGGTATATACAAAAAGTATGAAGGCTATTGCTTAACGCATTGTAAGCTGCCCTGAGTCTCCGGAGAAGGGCGGCATATAAATCGAACCAATAAATAAAAATAAATAAATAAATAAGCATTTTAAATGTTAAGTATTTCTTTAAATTTTAAGTATTTCTTAACAAGTAGTGCAAAGCAAGAAGCAGAATAATTTTGAAATGTTCTTCCAAAAATCCAATCCAGAAAAGAAACGGCAAAGCAATTTTGCCATCAGATACACAGAAAATGAAAGTGTGGTCCTCTATATGTTTACAATTTCAGGCTTTCATCTTAGCCACATGGGCTGCAGAGTTATTGGTGGCCTAAAGGATTATTGGTGCTTTGTCTAGTAGTATCCAAGAGTGACAAGCTGATTTTCCCTCTGAGGATAGAAAGGATGGAAATAATTATCACTTGTTTGGAAGATTATAGAATTATAGGGAAGAGAATTTACAGAAAGAATTTACATTTTACAACCTTTCGTGCCACTGAATCACTGCAGTTAAGTTAGTAGCATGGTTGTTAAGGACACTGCAATCGTCATAAATATGAACTAGTTGCCAAGCGGCCGGATTTTAATCACCTGACCATGAGGATGTTGCAAAGGTCGTAACTGTGAAAACTGGTCATAAGTCCCATTTTTCAATGTTGTAACTTTGAACGGTCACTAAACGAACTGTTGTAAGTTGAGGACTCCCTGCTCCTGATTTCCTCCTCCCTATTTTCTCTCTCTCCTGCTGATTCCCACCAGCAGAGCAGCAGCCATGTCTGCCCACAAAAGCCGTGGGCACAACGTTCTAGTTAAAAAAAAAAATAACCCCAAGCCCAGCCCTAAAATTGTTATTTTTTCCCTGTAGCCTCATAAGAGGCAATTACAGATTAGTGGGAAATCCCAGAAATGTTCTTCCAAGAGACGAGAGAAAATGCCAGGAAAGAATTGAGTCATGTAATGAAGAACCAGTGAGAGGATGGCAGCTCTCTCGCCCGCTGAGCAGCAGCAGCAGTGCTAAGGTGGCATGGCTCCACTTAACCCCTGGACTCGCTTTGCTCACTCGGCTCTAGGCTGCCCAGGATCCTTCGGTGTTTCTGCTGTTTCTTCCATCGCCTGCATGATTCCAGGCGCTCTTCTTTTCTAGATGGAAAACGTTTTCTCTGTTGCTGCTCAGAAATTGGGGTCCCCCCCCCTTCTCTCTCCTTTTTGGCAGCCCCCTGAGCAGAGAAGCCCAGTCAACACTAGTCTCCCTTTTATCCTGGTTACACCCAAGCCATCTCTGCTTCTGTCAAGGAGCTTCCTTCACCCCAGCCCCCCATTTCAGCCAGACAAGAGGCTGTCATTGTGACCATCCCTGACTGGGGGGGTCTCCTTTCAAAGGGAGAGCATTAAGCCTTTGTTCCTGAGGGATCCTGCTCCTACAGCCCTGGGCTCAAGTTACTCCGAATTCCTGACAATTACAGGAAGCAGAAGTTCCTTTTCCAACTCTGGAGAGAGGAGTTTTGATCTGCCAGACTAGCCTTATAGGTAGGGGATTCCTTGTGGGTGTCCTGTCTTAAATATAACTTAAATAACTCTAGTTAAGTAGCCTAACTAGATCCAGTTTGATTTAGTGGCTAGGAAGTGTGAGACTGTGAGTTCAAATCCCGCCTTAGGCATGATAGCCAGCTTGGGTGACTGGGCCAGTTCCTCTCTCTCAACCCAACCCACCTCACAGGGTTGTTGTGGGAAAAATAGGAGGAGGAAGGTATTTGGGACGTGTTTGCCTCCCTTTGTTCTTGAACCCAGACAAAGCAGCTAAGGTGCCATTTGCTGAGGCAAGTAACCTGCTACTTTTTAGTTTCTGTGAGACTTTCTCATCAAACCCTTTGTCTTCAGGGTTTTGGTGTAGCCTCTTGCTTTGCTGCTTGAATGTTGAAGCAGTAAACTCAGGATTTCTAGCACTTAAACGTTTTCCCTTTCGGTTCTTAATTTTTTCCCTTTGTCATAGCACTTTGTGTTTTCACAGACTCAGTTGTGTAGCAGTGGTGTGTATGCTTAGGAACATCTAATTATATGCATGCTTTGTGTGAATGAATCATAGAGTTGGACTGAGGCCGCCAAGTCCAGTCAACAGATTGCAGGGTAAAAATGCAAATAGAGGCACCCTCAACAGCTAACTCTACAGCTTCTGCCTGAACATCTCCTTCACCTCTCCACCCAAATTATTAATATCTGTGTTGAATAGGACTTCTGTCAGGACTGAAATTTGTAATACCCTCTCTTCAAGTTTGATGAGGGGCCACTGACCGGCACTCTTTGACAAAGATTTTGGGGTCAACTATGTATCCACTTATTTTGGAGCCCACATTTAACTAGCTTGCTGATCAGAATGTCGTTGTATTTTCCCAGGATGAGAAGCTCCTAGTGAGGAAAGACACTTTAGTTTGTGGAGAACAAAGGGAAGCTTCCCAAACATACAGTTAGGTTTTGGGGGGGCCACTTAATTTATGGTCACTAGAAATAAGTAGGATGAAAAGCATAACATGTGCTATTGCTATTAAAGCCTGCTTTTTCTCTCTTACAGGCCTGCCCGTTTTAAATATTGCACTAATATCTCACCTTACGTTTATTGTACAAAAGACAGCTACACTTGGACAAAAGGATCAGAAAAAAGGCAGGGGGCGGCCCTGAGAGCATTTGACTCCCTGTGGCCCTCTCCCGACAGAGGAGTTTCAGGGCCTTGTTGGGTTACAGTGAGGAACTGGCATTCTTCAGCATCCAGAAACGATGACTCTGTAGTAGAAAAATCGCTCAAGTCCCTGAAAGACAAAAACAAGAAGTTGGAAGAAGGGGGCCCCGTTTATAGTCCAGCAGTGGAAGAAGCCATCGTTAAAAAGTCCATTGGGCAGAAGATTGTCGATGAGGTGAAGCATTACTACCACGGCTTCCGGTTGTTGTGGATCGATTCCATAATTGCCGCCAGAATGCTCTGGCAGATCCTTCACGGCAGCTCCATGACCCGCCGGGAACGCAGACAGGTAACTCTGCCCACAGCACTGCCCTTGGGATGGACACCAAAGAGGAAATGAATATCACCAAGCCATTGCAGGTGTTTTAATGCTCAGAGACCTTCAGTTCTGGTAACAAATAAATGAAATACCGGAAGCAAAGAAATTAAAGATGCGAAGAAATAATTAACAAAGAAAAAATGTGTGTGTGTTTGTCTATATTCACAAGAGTTACAGAACATTTTTACTCGGTAGATATAAAGTGCAAGGTAGATCAGATAGGGTAAAATGTTAATTTAGTTTTTTAAAAAAGGATGACCAGATCTGAATAATTCAGCAACACAGGGTTTGAAATGTTACACCAATACAGGTAATCCTCAACCAGTCCTCGCACTTACAACCATCGAACATCCCCATGGTTACATGATCAGAATTCGTGTGCGTGGCAACTGGCATGTATTTGCAGCGGTTGTAACATCCCAGGGTCATGTGACTTCCATTTGCACCTTCCCAGATGGCTTCCGACAAGCAAAGGCAATGGGGAAGCTGGATTCGTTTAATGACCACACAACCCACTTAACAACCATGGCCAAAAAGGTTGGGTGTGACATAACCACCTTACTCATCAATAGACATTGTCCCAGCTCTGTAAGTTGAGGACTACCTGTATGGATTTTATTATCATGCTTTTAAACGTAATAATAGACCCTTGTTATCTCATTTTTCTTGCAAAAGTACAAAAACTAGCCAATTTATGTATGTCAGGTTGGAAAACTGCAAAGAAGAACATGTTTTTTAACGAGAAGTGCATTTGTGTCATGAACATAGATGGAGCAAAATAACACATGATTCTGGCACGGCACGGAACCCACAATTTCTCTTAATACAGAGAAAAGCCGCTTTTACGCAGTGATGGTTACAGTTAATAGTGCTGTTTGTACCTGCTCTGCTGAAAGGGAAGTTATACAGTCTTCAATTGACTCTATGTAAAGGTTGCAGCTTCATTTGCAGTAAAGGACAAGTTTATTTCCGGTAATACTGTTTTTCTCTCTCTTGAAAGTAGGAAGGATGCGTTACTTGGTCTGAAAAGAAATAAGCTTGATAAAATTGATCAGGTTTTTTTTAAATAGTTAAAGCTCCCAAAAAGATTTTGTCAATTAGCCGCATGATAATGACTCTCTTCATTTTTCTCTTGTGATAAACCGAAGCTTGGGTTTTTTTTTCTTTGCAGTTCCTTCGGATCTGCGCTGACCTCTTTCGCTTGGTCCCTTTCCTCGTCTTCATCGTGGTTCCCTTCATGGAATTCTTGCTTCCCGTAGCTTTGAAGTTGTTCCCCAATATGCTTCCTTCGACATTTGAGACAAACTCTAAGAAGGTAACCATTATATCAAGAAGTATTTGTAGAAATGTAGAAAAGTCTTTAGAGAGTGGTAGCATCCCTGGTTAAAATACCCGTTGACCTGTACACCTGAGCAGGTGGCCCTAAGTGTTTCAAAGCACCTCTACTAGGTGGACCATGCTGTCTGCAGACCCCTCTCTCTAATATTAAACTATGCGTTCATTTTTGTTAAAGGTGTGTGTCTTTCACTTCAGCTTAGACCTAAGGAAGTTGACTTCAGGAAATTTGCATGCGAAGGGCTTTAAATCCAAATGCAAAAGAACTCATTTTTAGCGAGAGGGCTCGGAAAATACCTTGATGAAGCCGTTGAAGAGCGGCTCTTCATTTAGATAATTATATGCAAAGATGCAGACTTGCATGCTTAATTGGGAATAAACCCATTTCGTTTAGCTGGACTTGGTTTCCAATAACTGTTCCTAGGCTAGAAGAGCTTACGTAAGAATGTTGCTAAATATTGTATTCCTCTGATATTTAATAGTGTACAAAGCGGACATAATGGGAAATTAATTTTTAACGTCAGTCTGGAACAGCTTTCTGTTAAAATGCTTTTTTTTTCCTTATTAGGAAGAGAGGTTGAAGAAAGAACTGAGAGTAAAACTTGAGGTGGCTAAATTTCTTCAAGATACTATTGAAGAGATTGCCTTAAAAAACAAAGCAGCTAAAGGGAATGCTACAAAGGATTTCTCAACCTTCTTTCAAAAGGTATTCAATTTGTCTCAAAAATTTAAATTATGTTGTTACATTTTATCACTAGGCTTCCAAGTGGATGATGATAATAGATACATCTGATACAATAGTTAACATTTCTTAGAGTAAATCCTTGCCTTTCTGAGGAAAGAGTTCCGGATACCGTCTTTAAGACTTTATAGCGTACAATTTATGATTTCAGATACGCGAGACTGGTGAGAGGCCGAGCAACGAAGAGATTTTACGGTTTTCTAAACTGTTTGAGGACGAGCTGACCCTGGACAACCTCACAAGGCCCCAACTGGTTGCTCTGTGTAAACTTTTAGAACTTCAGTCAATCGGAACAAACAACTTTCTTCGCTTCCAGCTAATCATGAGACTGAGAAGTATCAAAGCAGATGATAAAGTAAGGGGATCTTTTTTTTTGTTGACAGTTTATTTAAAGAAACTGTGTTGTGGAAAAGAAAATTAATTTTAGAGTCACGATGTATGTGGTGGGGAACGCCGGCAGGGAGGAGGGCTCAAGCGGAGAATGGTTACGAGCTATTGTTACAAATGAAGAGAGCTATTTATAACAGTTATTTCTGAATATTTGGAGAATGAGTTTCTATGCGCTGTAGATGTTCATCTTTCGCCCTGTCTAGCTGATAACTGAGGAGGGCATGGATAGCCTGACAGTAAAAGAGTTGCAAGCAGCCTGCCGAGCGAGGGGCATGAGAGCCCTTGGCGTCACAGAGGAGCGATTAAAGGATCAGCTGAAGCAGGTATTTCATCCGCTAGGAGTATTGGAAGGCTTTTGTCACGAGGCCAAAACTCAAACTGGATCCAGATGGGAACAATTAATGCCCAGAAGCGCTGAGAATAATTCTTCATGAGAGAGAACGGCTCTAGAACCAGCAAAGCTCTGCTAAAAACTGCCATAAAAATAATTCTAGCTCAAGGTTGATATTTTGAATTGTAGATGGTGTGTCTGTATACACAATCAGGCATATGTGTGTGGTGGCACAAACGTCTTTTAAGACCAGAATGGCAGGAAAAAACCCCACATTGCTTATTGGATGGAACACCCCAACCTCTGCTGTGGGAGGCTTGGCTTCTGCAGACATCCAAATTTTTAAGCAATAATCGAGGGAACATAATTCTGTCTCTCTCTGCTTGACAATTCCTGATCTATATTTTGACACACATCCTTTGACCAAATCTGGAAGGAGATTTTATCAAAGGAATGAACTCTGCTAGTCATTTTTGGAATTTGTATTGCATCCTAAAACTTTTCACAAACTCTCTTATGACAGGGGTGGGCAACTGTGGCCCTTTTACAACCTGTGGACTTCAACTCCCAGAATTCCTGAGATAGCCAAGCTGGCTCAGGAATTCTGGGAGTTGAAGTCCACAGGTCATAAAGGGGCCATATTTGCTCACCCCTGTTTTATGAAATCTATAAAAACACAATGATGGTATTCCTGGCAACTTAATACTTTTTTCGGAATTTGGAACTTGGTGGAACAGCTAGATTGCCAGTTTTTGCTACCCTGGGCTTGATAATTTCTGGCCTTTTGGGGTATGTTTTCAGTAATATTTGCATTATGTAGTATATTATAACTACTAATACTTTTCCAACTATGATCTTGTGCTATCCAAAAACCTTACTTTGAGAAGAGATGTTGCTCTGAGGCAAATTATATAGAACCTCTATTTTGGTTTTTATTATATCTCCCATTTTGTGTGTCCCACTTGGAAACAATATTGCAAGTTAAGATCTAATTTCAACCCCCCCCCCCGCCAAAGACCTTCTTTTAAAGGAATAATTGCTTTAGTATGGTCTCTGCATCAAACCAAAAACTTCTGATATTTTATCTTTTAATTGCAGTGGTTGGACTTGCATCTGAATCAAGAAATCCCAACTTCCCTGCTTATATTATCCAGAGCGCTGTACCTTCCAGAAACTCTGTCTCCGGCTGACCAGCTGAAAACGACTTTGCAAATTCTCCCTGAGAACGTGGTATGCTTTGCTTTACGTGGCCAGCTTTTTTCTACAAATTACCGGTCTTGGAAGCTATTGGCGCATTTGTAGCATTAGGAATTTTACACCTTTGCGGGATACGTTGTTCAGTGTTCCACATCCACACTTTTATCTGACTTCTGTGTTGGAATTCTTTTGGTCATTTTGGAAGACGTTTTCACGTTATTTCATGTTTGGTAGAAGTCTGGTTGTTAAAGACAATCTGTGTCCCCCAAGAGCCGTTTGTGTATCTTTTCCATGGACACCAAGACAGAGCAGTTAGAAGGAGGAGGCTTAGCTTGCGGTGATGGAACTGTCTGTCTTGAGGTTTAGCAGAGCTGATCTTGGGGAACTAAAAATACGGCTGACAAGCCGGGATATTAATTGGTCTCTTAACACAGAGATTACGGTTCACCTAGACAATTGGTCCAAGCTTTTCTTTGTGCGACATCTCTGTGGTTCTCAACCTTTTCTTCACCATGGACCCCCTCTAAACACCACAGGACCCCCAAGGCTCAACTCAAGATTTAAATCGTAGCATTTCTTTAAGCTTTCACAGGCCCCCTGGGACAACGCTGCAGCCCCCTCAGGGCTCCATGGACCACAAGCTGAGAACCACCGCAATATCCAAATAACCTGTTCGTTCATATTCCCTCTGCAGCTGGTTGACCTTGCCTACAGGGCATTTAAATTTAATACCTTAAAAGTAACGGAGTAATGTGATTTGTTTTATTTGAACATTTGCAGCCGGAATTCAAGAAAGGCAATACCTATAGATGGATTTTTAAATCTACTTTGGATGTTGATTTTACTGCTCTTATATGTGGCCTCTTAACATGCTTGGCTCTGGACTGGAGTTTGTCAATGTTGCAGTCCAATACAGCTTGTCCCTGATGTACGGCCGTTCATTTAGTGACCGTTCAAAGTTACAGCAGCACTGAAAAAAGTGACTTATGACTGGTTTTCACAGTTATGACCATTGCAGTATCCCCATGGTCACGTGATCAAAATTCAGACACTTGACAGCTGGTTCGCACTTATGATGGTTGCAGTGTCTCAGTTATGTAACTTATGTAACTTAACTCTTTAATTTATGTCTCAGTTAACGACATCAATGTTGGGCTCAAATATGGTCATAAGTCGAGAACTACCTGTACCATATAGAGAGCTGCAGGATTTTTTTTTTTCTTCTGGATTATTTTCTTTGCATCTTGTTGGTTGGCTTCTCAGAGTTTCTGGCTGGTCTCTGTTGGAGATGATGTTATTTACCTGGGTGAAAATAGGGTTAAGTTTCCTGTCTTACAGGTTGCAGGAACTGGCTTGTTGATCTGCAAACACAAGTCTTAGTATCCTTTAGGAAAGTCCTGTATCTCTGTATGTTAACATTTTATTATATATATTTTTCAAATAAAAGGCAAAGGAGGCTCAGGTGAAAGCGGCAGAAGTGGAAGGAGAAAAGATTGACAATAAAGCCAGGTTGGAAGCAACTCTTCAAGAAGAGGAAGCCATCAGGAAAGAACACCACGAGAAAGAGCTGGAAAAGCTTTCCGAAGCGGCTGAAAAAGCCAAAGAGACTCTTCACGCTGCGGAAAGGGTGAGTAAGGAAGGCATAAGGTTTGAGGAGGCAGCGATATGGATGCCATGTGGAGCTCTTGGAGGAATGGCAGGATATAAATCCTCCCAATGAACCAAAGAGAGAAAGCCAAATAAGACTTCCAAAAGCATTCCTTATCCATGCATCCATCTAGCAATCCCAAATGTAAAATCATGTTTAAAATCTTGTGTCTAATTGTTGTGTTTCCTGTGTTCCGGAAGGAGGTGATAGTAGATCTGGATTCCTCAGCTCTGAACAAAGTCTCTCTAGATGCCACTGCTGAACGAGAACCGGCAAAAGTGAATTTAACCCTGCAGTCAGAGGTTTTGAAAGATACGGCCCCGGTATTGGAAGGCATGAAGGTAAAACGTTAGGTGGGCGGGAAGCTCAGCACAAACTCTGCAGTCAGGGGAATCAGGAAGCAGTTCACGGTTGCTCCATCCAGATGAGCTGATACATCCAATTATAAGAGATACAGAGAAGGCTCGGGCTTATTGCATTCATTACCTGCTGGTTACTTAAGGTTCCAGTTACAGTACTTAAAGTAAGGATGGGCAGTTTTTGGCTGATAAAAATCGGGCTGCATAAGAGTATCGGCACCCCCGTGAAATAAATATAGAATTTGGAACACAATATAAGAAAAATACATGAAGAAGTCAGCTTCAGTTAAGCTGCTTAAAATGAAATTGATCACAGTATTACATAGCTGCCAACTAAAAATAGGACAAAGGCCATTTTATCTACTGCTGCTCAAGGAGCATAACGTTTAGTAGCTGTACACCAGCCAAGATACCAATATCTAAGTGCTCTATGAATCTTTCAAACTCCTCACGGCTTTGCCATGTTACGTTCTGGAAGAATTGCTATCAAGGCGTGACTGGAAAAACTAAGGACACTGTGAATATCAGTGTGAAATGGGCAAAACCAAAAACATGCTCAGTTGTCTCTTTATCGGTCCCTGATCTCTGGAGCATAAACATTCAAAAGGGAGGTTTTTTAGTTTTACATTTTTCCTCTAATAGCACTCAAAGGACTCCTCCAATGAGCCAAAGCAAAATTTTCTCTCCTGTGAGCAGGGACTCTTGTCTCTGAAAGGTACTTGGCAAGTATGAACTTCATGCCTGGGTAAAAGGAGATTGGGGCTCTGCTTCAATCAGTCTGTCCTTCTCTATGCATGCTGTGCTGCTTATGGGGAGTGGGGTTGCCCCTCCTCACTCTTGAGAAAGCAGGAGGTCAGGAGGTGTAAACCCAGGGAAAGAGAACTTGATATAAGGGTCTATTGCAATTCCATTTCCATTGGAAACCATCCGTGCTGTGAGAGGAAGGCCAACTGAGGAGAAGTGATGGGTTGGCCAGGAGCTGAGTGCATTTAACAAAACTTCTGTCTCTAGTTGTACTAATCCCATTTTTAGTTGTAAGGGCGGGGGGGAGGGGGGGCAATTGGCCCCTGAAGTATTGGCCTAAGTAGTTCAGATTGAATTTCTGAGGAAGCAGGTAGAGAAAAGATCGAATTGTGCCTTTTATATTGGAGGTGGCTTGTCTATTTGGCTTCACATAATTTGACAGCTGTGGCCGCAAAACAGTCCCCGTTCTCCAGAATTGTATCTAGCGGAGAAGAATTTGTAAGTGGCAGTTTGTGGGGCTGAGTATATAAGTACCATGCGCTCTTCCGCCGGCAGTTTTCTGGGAAACCATCCCAGGCATTTTATGAAGGAAGGAAGTCTTGCTTCATCCAGAGCCCGTTTGTGCATCCTGCGTGAGCCTTTGCTCTCTTTGGAAAGAAGATAATCTTGACTTCTACTCTAATCCCTCTTTAATTGATCTTCTTTACCAGAGCCTCCAAAGCTCTCCTACCTGTGGGACTTTGGCAGGGTGGCCGAGTTAGCCACAGAAAGTGGAGTAGATGGAGAGATGCCTGCCTGTCACCCTAAGCGGATGAGCGGGCAGGTTTCCTAAGGAACCACCAGGACGTTGGATTTAAACATTAAACGGAAGTGGGAGAGCACGCAGCTTCCTTTAATTTCCCAGGATTTGATAAATGCCCGTTGATCATAGCAACAACTAACGATTAGACAACACCTTCAGACTGGTGCAGTTATAAAAAATCCAAATAAGAGGGGATCTAGACTCCGGTTTCCTCCAGAGACGAATTTCTCCGGGAAACAGAATCAGATGTGATTTCTTACCAGTGAAAGCTGTGTGTAAAAGTTAAGGACCCCTCATTTGTAGGATGCTGTAGAAAATCTGTTTAAAGTTCTTGGCTAGAAAATCAATAAAAGCATTGTCAAATTGAGAGCCATGTTGGTGGGATCAGGAACTGGGAGACCGTGAGTTCTAGTCCCATCTCAGGTACAAAGCCAGCTGGGCGATCTTGGGCCAGTCTCTCTCTCTCCTCTCCCTCCCTCCCTCCCAAGGAAACAATGACAAACTAGTTTTGAAAAAGCTTTGGGGATTTGTTCAAGGTAGCCTCTCAGAATCGGACACGGTTGAAAGGAAAGGGGAAAAAATTGTCCTATTAGACTGGTTTTGCAAACCAAACAGAATATTTTCAGAGTTAATGTAGATTCACTTTTTCCGCTTCATTTTGTCAGCATCTCTTGGTAAAATATTTTAGCTTAAAGATACCTAGATCTGGAATATGCAGGGTCCGTGTTTTTTAAAATTCAGCAATCTAGTGCTAATGTAAGCCTTATTCTGTTTTGTATGCTGTTTTACTTCCTAAAAAGTTCCCGTTGATTTGGGTGTACTTCCAATGATACAGGTTTTTTTCCTGGGAACCTAAAAAGTTATATTAGTGCTTATAATGCTGTGTATTTTTGGGGATATTGCAGGCATGGATAAAATGGATATAATGTACCTAAGCAAATAATATAATTTATTATAACTTTTTCCTGTCTTGCATAGTGCGCTGCGTCATAGCGTAGCATACCTCATAAGATAGCCAGTTTGTAACTCAGTCTGTGAAAGTTTGTAGTGCAGAAGGATGCGGGAAAGGCACAAGAAGGTATGTGGATTTAGCCACAGCATAAAGTAAGTTTGTCAACTATTTTTGCAATTTAATAAAAAATTCAGGTGTTCTAGCTTTACCCAGATTTATATAATATTTGTGGGTAAATAGAAATTTTGTTAATGTTCAATTGAAAATTTGCTGTTTCCACAAAAATTTGAAACATTGTTTTGTGGACTCTAAATTTCATAAGTCAGCAGCCTTCTGGTGTTCAGTTTGCTCTGACTAAGCTGTACTTGTTGCTATTTTTTTCTCAGTTTCTCTTATTTTGTTTTTGCTACTTTTTTTGTACCGAGACTGCCCCACCTGGTCTTAAATGACCAAGGAAGTTGCTCATAATCTTTGCCAGCATGATTGGCACTTCCATTCCTTGTGTTCATGCCAAGGGCACCTTCCAAAGCCACAGCAGAAGCATACAAAGACCCCCCCCCCAACCCCCACCCCGGTTCCCTGGAAGCGATGTGCCATTCCCGGTCCCTCCGGGGAGCTTCCTTACTCTCCTGGAAGGGATGGGATCCTTCTGCACCAGCACTTCGATTGATCGTTCAGTGGACGTGAATACATAATTAGGGCAGAGCTTTCTTCCTCAAATCCAGGCTTGATCGAATGAAAGGTGATTCTTTCCTCTTGACATGTCGCCCGCTGGACTAAACTTGACTGAGAGCCAGTTTGGTCTAGTGGTGAAGGCAGCAGGCTAGAAAGCTGGAGATGGCGAGTTCTAGTCCTGCCTTAGCCATGAAAGCTGGCTGGGTGACTTTGGGCCAGTCACCAGGAGGCAGAGAGTTCTAGTCCTGCCTTAGCCATGAAGGCCAGTTGGGTGACTTTGGGCCAGTCCCTCCCTCCCAGCCCAATTCACTTCACCGGGTTGTTGTGTTGGGGAAAATAGGAGGAGTAGGGAGGAGCGTTTGATAGATAGCCGCCTTGAGTTATTTGTAAAAATGATAAAGCTGGGATACAAATAGACAAGAGAACTCTCTTGGATGAGCCCAGGGGAGGAAAGAGCTCTCCTACCTGACTGTACCAACAAAGCTCCTCTACCCAGCCTCTGGGTGAAAGCACCCCCCCCCTTCCAGGGTCTTGTCTATCGCCCTCATCCTGCTCTTGGGACACCTTCTCAGCTTGGCGGTAAAGCTCAGGGTGCCAAGGTCCTCCGAGCGTTTTGCCAGGTACAGGTGCCTCAGTGAGGATAAGGTCTGTGTTGTCAGGGTTCCTGGGGCACTCCGAGATCCATGGCAGAAGGCTCTTCCACATGGTCTCTTCCAAATAATCAGGGAGGCATCAATGAAAATCCAGCCAGAAACCACTCAAGAATAGTTGCCTACCTTCGCTCGATTCTCTGAAAAACATGGAAGTGTATTTTGTGCAATTGGAACTGCAGTCAGAGAGGCAGGCATGGGCCACTCGTATCTTGAGCGTATTATTTTACATTTATAAATATATGAAAGATGGTTGATGTTACGCAGAGCGACTATGAAATATTTAGAAGTACAGTATCAATGGTAATCGATCTCTTCCTGAATAGTGCGGTGAGGATTCACGCTGAATTCATGGAATGGCATCCAGAGAGACCAGGGGCCTCCCCTCCCCTCCCTGTAGCATCCCTTGCCCTTAAATCTCTCCGATTCCTGGATCTCCTCTAGAGCCTCTTGTATAATGTATTTTACACAGGAGGCAGGAGGATGTGGAGGACAAGGGAGGCTTAACGTTCTTTTTCCTTTCCATTTATTCAGGGCGAAGAAATAACAAAAGAAGAGATTGACATGCTAAGTGATGCTTGCACTAAACTGAAGGAACAAAAGAAATTGCTGACAAAGGAGAAGGAGGAACTGGAGGACCTGAAGGATGACGTGCAGGAATACAGCGAGGTGAGACCGGAGGGGAAGTCAGGTGGCTTGAAAGAAAATGGGCGCTAACGTGAGTTGTGTCTTCTAGACCTCCCGGCTCTGATAGACGGGAACAGAGGTCATTCACAGCCCCAAGAGACGCCGATAGCTCTTGTTGCCTTTTTGCTCAAAATGCAGCCTCCTTCGTGTGTTTCTCTCAGTGCTTGGAGATTCAGACCGCAGAGGGGACCAGAGTCACTGTCTCTGTTGGGTCTCCTTCCGTCCTGGGCCTTTCCACCTCATTCAGATCTGCCAGGGGTTCTGGGCCAAGAGGCAGGTTGAGCATCAGGCACAGACAGCCGCCTTCCCCCGAGGGGAGCCCTTGCGTCTTCAGAGGCTCCTGGGAAGACTGAGGGGCCCCCAGTAGCTTTCGTAGGCCTAGGCTGGGCTGCCTGTAAGCTAGAAACGGCTCCCATCACCAGCTCTCCTCTCCCCCTCCCCTCTTTAGCATCAAAAGATTTATGGTGTAAAAAAATGTTCCTCTTTCACCCTCAGGATTTGCAAGAAATCAAGGAACTATCTAAGAGTGGACCAGAAGACATAGTTGAAGAATCCAAAGCCAGCAAGAGGCTGACTAAAAAAGTGAACCGAATGATTGGGCAGATCGATAGAATCATTCAGGAGTTGGAGACAGACCAAAAACCAGTTGGAGAACAGCTGGGCGGGGGTCCCAGTCCCCCCATTGGGTGAGTGGTTGGTAGTGCGGCCGAGGGAGATTATAGTTTATCATTGCAGTCCCTTCAGGGAAGGTTTTTTTTTGTTGTTGACCAGCCTTTGAGGAAGAAAAAGGGCGCCCTCGTCTCAGAGAGGCTCTGTTGTTCTTGGTTCCTCTGTAGAAAATCCAGGTGGCAAATAACTGCGATTTCCACTGGAATGATGGGTTATGCAAAGACTCCTCGCGCACAGATTGATCCTTGGTAGTAACCACTTGCTTCACTACAGGCTGCATTTCCCATTTAGGCAGAACCTCATCAGCATCCAGGATCTTATTAACGTGATGAAGCAGCTCCAGGAAATCCCCGAAGGCAAACTCAACAAGCTGGCTGAGGCGCTGGATGAGAATAAGGACGGTGAGATCAACATAGACGACGTGGTCAAGGTGAGTCCGCTGAGCAGGAGCTCTACCTGCGAATGGAGGGCGGGGCTGCTTTCGTGGCCCTGGGAGCCCAGCAGAAGCTTCCGTCAGGCAACCTAGCATCAGATTTAACCTTATGCTCGGATGTGTCCTGAGTTGTCTACGGACTGTTGTGTCTGTGTAGTGTAACGTGGCAGCATGGATCCCTTCAGCTGTGTGGATCTCAGTTCCTAGAAATGTTTATGATTAAGGATGAAGGCTACCTGTAAGTAGAAAAGTTGGTGCTCCTGTGTATTTGTCAGAGAAATAATGTTACCCAAATAACAATATCCATTCATGGGAAGTGCCTGTTTCTTTGGAAACTTGTTGCTTAAGACGCTTGTTTTTTTACTTTCCTATTCAAGCTTTTCAAAAATATTTAGGAAGTAAACCTAAGTGGCACAGCTAACCCTAACCTTTTAAAAATGCTTGCCTAGGTGATCGAACTGATTGACAAGGAGGACATCGATATCTCTACCAAGCAAGTAGCAGAGATCGTATCGCTGCTGCACAAGGAAGAAAAAGTGGAAGAGATGGAGAAGACCAAAGAAAGTGCGGAGAAGGAAGCGGCAGAAGTGAAGAACTAGCTTACAGTTCAACGGTTGAATGGAAGGCGGCCTCCTGTGCACCTTAGTCAGCACTTAGTAGCGGTGAGATGAAGCACACCTGGTAGCTTTCCAACTAATCAAAGATACAGTAATTTTTGGACCCTGGTGAGACAAATGATCATTCCATGAAATAGAAAGCGTTCCGGTCTTCTAAGAAATCAACCCATCTTCTACAGTGATGTCAACTGGTGTGTTGATTCAGTCTCTTTGTCTCCCGGTTGTGATGTAAATCAGAAAATTCTTTGCAATGCACAAGGAATCACTTCTCCTTTTTAAACTGTGTTACATTTGCTTGTCACAGAGATGATAACGTTTTTCTTCTTGGGAAAGTGAAAACCTCTATTGCAAAATCTCCAATACTGAAACCACTCAAAAATGGCTAAACCCTGATGAAAAATGGTTTCTGAAAGTTTTGTAATTATTTTATGTTGACGTGTAGAATTGCACTGCAACCATAATTTAAAAAACAAAACAAAAACCTTCTCGAACATTTTTATTTTGGCTTGATTGATTTCTCAGTGTTAAAAAAGAAAATAAGAAAATATTGCACTATTTCGCTATCAATACACACCGTTTTAAAAAGGGTTTAAATTCTCTCAACCCTCTATAATCCCATTGATCTTTCTCTCAGTTTTATCTATTGATCTAGTTTCACTGATACAGAATCTGGGCTCCCAGAGTTTGCAGATCAGACATCAGTTGCCTACAAGGCGACTTTGAAATTGTAAAAAAAAAAAAAAATCTACCAAATCACTGTTTATATAATAGGTGTACTTTAATCAGGAGATTTTTTTCACCTTGGGTATGAAATAACTAATTCAGCATACTGGAAACATCATAAAAATTGCCTATATAATCATGACAATTAAAGGCTGCTAATAAGTATCTTCCTTAGTTTGCCTTGCTTTTGGTCTAGTCCGTTCTGTTGTGTAGTTGCACTAGGCAGAGTTTCTTAAGCAGCCCTTTAAAGCATTTAGGGGGAGGGTTTTTTATGTTTTTCCAACAGGTGGAGGTGATTCCAAGACTTCGAAGAAATAGAGGGGGTTGAAATTGGCTGCCTGAGCCTGAACGACTCTGGTTTCAATTATGACGCTTGGGTTTTGTCAGGGCTCAGAAACAGTATTTGCATTGCCTTTCTTTAATTGAGTTGCAATACGAATAAACACCCTGGGCCTCCCAGGTTTGGTATCAGAATTAATAGAAAATGTATTTTAGATGCCAGTATGGAGGAATTAAAATGGCAAACCATGGCCCTTCATAGATTTGTCCCCATTTTCTAGTTTTGCCGCCGCCTTAGTGCTGTTGGTAGGCAGGACGCAAGCGTAGCCCATTTATTCTACACGCTCCTCTTCCAGTTGTGATATGCGTTGGTTTTACGGGGATGCCACTGAAGCAGCATCTGATGACCCGAGAAGTTCCTTTTGGGCAGACTTTAAATAGATTTCGTTGTGTGAGGAGTGTGTCTGCAGCTGAATTTGGACCTTCCCTAACAACTTAAAAATCCATGGAGAAGAACAGCCTTTTTCATGGCACATCATTTTTTATTGCACGTTTATTCCTGTGACAAATTAGCAAAAGGGAGCACATCTGTACTGTCTATCCAAGTGCCTCCTTTGGATCCAGGAGAAAAATCCCTATTTGAGGGCAGAAGGAACGGTTGAGCCTTCTTACAGCTCTACTTCACAATCCCATCAGGTTGCAGCGGCTACTTGATGCTACCAAGTACACTGGTCAAGCCTGTGTACTTGCTGTTTCGGCATTGTTGCAGAGGATGTGCAAAGCCACACCCAAGCTAAACACACCTCTTGTGCCTGTTTTAGACTGGAAGCAGCTCTTTGAAACAGTTGTGTGCATGCACAACTTCCGGAGGCATTACAGTGTTTAAGTTCATAAAGTAGATACTAAGATTTCTGTGGTCTGGTGCTCACGTTGTGTGTGAGTTGATCTCTATCCTGAAGGAAGCCACAGCCATCGCTTTCCATTCCCCGTTTCCTTTCTAGCTCCATATTGCTACCGCTTTCCTTTGTCCAAACTTTGGCTGGTAACGTAGTAGGGAATGCAAGGAGGAGCTCTCATTTTTGCAGTCGTGTGTCGAGGATTGTGTGTTCGCAGGGGCAGCTGAACACAAGGTGATGGGAGATCGAGCTACCCCACCTGCCCTTTGGCCATGATGGCCTCAGTGACCCAGTTAATCTTTTGGAAAAGAGAAGGGAGCGGCTGCAACTCAGAGGGGGGACCCTTAGTTACTTACAAGCATGAACTTCAGAGAAGATTTGGGATCTATTTATGATGGTCTTAAGGGGGGAGAAGAAGACTTGCAGGCCCCCTTTCTGTCCTCTCGGGTGACTTTCAGTGCCTTTACTGATGGTGGGAATTTCTTCCTTCCATCGTGGAGAGAGAGAGAGAGAGAGAGAGACAGAGAGGCAGATAAATTGACTTTTCAACATTGTCGTAGATCAGACGTCTCCCTTCGCTCTAGATCTTCGGTTACTTCTGTATCATTCTAGCTTCCGTAGCTTTAGCAGCAGGTTCTTCCGAGCAAAGAACTTTCATAGTTGATGGCGCATATTCTTTTTTTTTAACGGGGGAGCAAGTGCTGGGCTTCTTGTTTCGCATATAGAAATTGCCACTGGAAAAAATCCACTCTGTTGACAGCTTACGTGAATTAACCACCTGTCTTGATATAACACAGCTTTCTGCCTTTGTTTAGGATACATAAAGGACAATGGACAGATAATCGTAAACTTTCTGTATTTATGGGTTGATAAATTGGTGTTAGGAAAATATACATACTATTATTCATACTTTGCACATTGTACATATGTATGGACACACACATATCTTTCTGGTGGATAAGGGTAAATATCGGTTGGATTTAAATGCGAAATTGTACAGGATTAGAAAGCTGAAGGCATAAAAGAGGTTGTGTTTTCAATAAACATTAGTTTTCAGAAATAAAGTCTGAGAAGCGGTAACTGGTAATAAACTTTAGATGCAGAATATTAAACATTTGACATTTCATATGGCAAACTGCATTTAGAAGCCTCCCCCCTCCCTTTATTTCTGAAAATAATTGCTTTTATTTCTGTCCAGAACGCATAGCGTTATTTTGGCAGAGGGTTTGCAGGTTTAGGCTGCCTCCGTCTCTGTAAGAGGCAGAAGGGAAGATGAGTTTTCATCTCAGTTCATAGGAGGGTTGACTGGCAACCGTGAGTTATAGAAGATGACAGATTGCGAGAGCAGGATTGGTTGGCACTGTAAGATGGTACTTGCAGGACAGCTGAATGTACCTCATCTTTTGTAATCAAATTATAAATATTTTGCCCCAGTTCAGATGTAAAATAAAGAATATACTATTCAGTTAAAATATAACCAAGGCCCTTTCCTGGTAAAGAATGTTCTATTGGCCATATTTTGATGTAGATTGTTGTATTGATAGGTACAGTTTCCTTAAATTTTTCACATAATTGGTTGGATCCAGCCGTTCAGAGCTCTTTGGGTCACTCCAGAGTCCCCCAAGAAGTCCAGAGATTTGGGGGCTGCAGTCTAATGTTGCACCTTCCCTCCCTTTTCACAGATTTCTGCATCCAAACTGTTGCCTTCTATCTGTAGCTACTGTTTTGCCAGCCAGCCAGATGGGTTCCCTTTCTCCGTTACCAAGTCTGGGGCTGGAATTAGGCCTTTCAGCCCTCCCTCTGGGAAAGCCTTAAATCTACAGACTTCAGGCTCCCTTCATTTGTTCTTAAAATGCTCTGGATACTCACAATGGCAGATATTCTCCCGGTGCAGTGTGTGATTCCATAAATATTCATGGATGTCCTAGAAAAAACAACTACTGAGTGAATTTTGTGATTTAAAAAAAAAGTTAAGAAATCACGGGGCAAACATGCTCCTTTTAAAGGTGCAACTGCTTTTTTCAACAAATATTTTTTTTAGAAAAAAAATTATAGGATCAGAAAGCCAGATCTGAATACTCCCTTGCCAAAATAGAGAGAGGGAGAGACTAGATTTTTTGGCTTCAATCAGTGAACCTTCAAGCTAAGACAGACCCTCTCTGAGTTTTTTGAGAGTGGACTCCCCTAGCCCTAGAAGGAAACTGAGGCAAGGTGGGGGGTGGGTGGGTGGAATCCGGTTCAGCCCTGGAGAGGTAAGGGTTAAATTAGGTGGGCTCTTGTACACTCCACTCGATTCTGGAAGGGGCATTGTTTATCAAGATTTGAAATGGAAATGAATCCACATTGGCAAATCAGCAATTTTTAAAAATATCTTAACTGGCAACCTAAGCTTGTAGATAATCTACTGTAGTAGCAGAGAAATTTCATGCTATTTCATAGGTTTTAACAATTAGCACGAGGCAATCCATCTTGCTTCTTCCTAGAAGGGAATTAGATTCTCTTTTGAAAAGAGCTTTGAACCATCGCCAGTTACATAAGATCTGAGTTGAAATACATTTTAGTGTGTAATGCTAGTGGTGCTTTGTGTTTAATATGTATAAAATCCTTTTTATCTTTCTAAGCTTAAATTATTATATAAAATACCACATTATTAAAGAAAAATATACCATATTCCCTCTTTTACTGTGGACTATTTATGAATAAAATCTTACATAATAAACCTGTTGATATTGATCATGTGAACTGAAAGACAATACTTCTTGATGTACAGCAGAATAAAAAATGATTGAAACTTTTGATATTTGTTTGCCTTTGACTACATTGGGGTGGGGGGGTGTTTGTTCTCTTTGAAGGTGTTGCTGCTTTAAATGGCTGTTTACAAACTGAACAATTCATTGAAGCTTAACTGGTCCACGTGTGATAGAATTATTAGCAAGTGCAGAGTATTGGGTCAAAATTGGTGATTTTACTCAGCAGATGCCTTTTTTCAGAATGTTTCTATATTCATCTCCAGCCATTAAAACTAGGGGAAAAAAATCTAGATTTTGGGCCAAGAAGTTGGTTGTCTTTTTAACCACATCCCTGAAATTGGACATCCCTTTATCCAGGATGATACAAGGTCTCCTGCCTTGGCCAGCAGGTTGGACTAGAAGACCTCCAAGGCCCCTTCCAGCCCTAGGATTGTATGTTTTCATCGTTTTCTAAGATCCCTTGATGGTTTTGAGTTGCGCTGGGCTTCATACCAGCTGCCTTTCTGCCTTCCTTGCTCTTCTGGTGGTGAGCCTCCCAGCTCTCGGCGTGGGAGGTGCCGTGGACCCTAAGGGCAGGGAGCAGCCGGATGGCACTTGCCTCATGCTTTCACTTGACAACTAATACCCAGGCAATGCAAACAGAGAACTTCAAAGCCTCCTTTGGAAAAGCATTGAATTACCCTTCAACGTTTTTCAGGTGAGCCAAAGGTTAATAGGTACAAATGACACCGACAACTAAGAGCGATGGGTGGGGAAGGCGTTCTGTCATTTGGTAGCTCCTAGTAGGGGTGGCTTTGCTGACCTCACCTCCATCTCACTGGGGGACCCCAGGAAGAGACCCCTGAGGGGAGACACCACCTGCCTAAGGAAGTGGCCTTATTTCTCTTCCTCACCTTCAGGGTAAACGTTTGCTGGAGAAAGTCAACGCTAAAGGGATGAAAAGGGAAATCTTGATACTTTGCCCGACTCACCTCGTCAGGTGAAGTGAGAGTGCTTAGTGGAGCAAGTAATTCTCCCCATCTTATTCATTACTGTTTTTCTTTTTAATTGTTTTTAACAGGTACATTATGTTGTTTGTTTAGTTGTGTAGCAAGCAGGTTGCCCATAGTTACATCCAAGCAAGATGGCAGTTAAATAAATGAAACAAAGAAATGGTGCAAGGTTATTGTTTAATAAATTGAAACAATAAATTTGCAAGGTGCAGGGAGCATTCACAAAATTGCGCATACGTATGCTTGGCCATCTTGCAATTCTACCATATCATTTTTCAGGGTCCTGGCAGCTCTTTCTGACCCCTGGATGCCCACTTCTGCTGGCATTTGGAAGACCCATGAAGCCCTGGCCTTCGCCTAGGCCAGGCCCCCTTCAGCCTTGGCAACTGTAAGGTTTCTGTGCTTAAATGCTGGCTGGGGAATTCTGGGAGTTGAAGTCCACAAGTCTTAAAGTTGCAAAGTTTCGAGAGCCCTGATCTAGGCCAAGGGTGGGCACCCTATGGCGACACCGATGACCCAGGGACTTCAAGAGTTGTCCACCTCTGACCTGGGCCTTTGGCCAGGGCGAGCGAGACCCCTGCCTTCCCTATCTCACCTTTCCCATTTCATTGATGTTATCGCAGCTCCTTTGGATGGTTGGGAGCTGCCTCCGTTTCTTGCTTTGCTGGCTCTCAAAATCAAAAGGCTCTTATCTAGTTGGCCTCTTGGGGAGAACGCCAAGGATCCAGCCTGGGGAGAGTTTCCAAGTCAACCTGTGCTTTCAGGACGCAATCGGGAATCTGATTTTCAGCCAGGATGTTACAGAAGGCGACGCTGATCTGAGATGGGAAGAACCAACTGGGTCCAGCATCACCCAGGCGGCTTCCATGGAGGACTAGGATCTTGATCTGCCCACTTCTAATCCAGCATCTTAATCACCACACCCTACTGCCTCTTGTGTGATCCGCTCTTTGATCCCTTGTTAATTTTTCATTGTGTTGTTAGGCTGTGATAACACACATCCTGTGTGCTGCTAGAAGCCAACACGCCTGAGAAATCCCCCACTAGGTGGCGCTGCAGGATTACAAGAGGCCACTTAGGTGGCGATTGTGTTGCTTAGGCTGAAGGTTCTGGATCCCTGATTCCCTTTTGAGCGTTCAAGGGATCCTCTGCCCAAAGGCTCGCTTAAGATCCTTCCTCTTATGATCCTGTGGGCTCTCAGGAACCACCATTTCCAACCATGGATGGGAAGGGAAGGGGCAGGGCAGAAGAAAACACCCTGAGTTTTGTTTCAGGGGAGCAAATGTTGACTTGGGCAGAGGTCAAAGCCCCTCCGTGGCCCTGGATTTCTCTGCCTATGGATGCAGAGGGAGTTGCATAGGAGAGGACACTGCATAAAAGGCTGCAGGGTGTGTATGTGTGTGTGTGTGATTCGAGTGATCTCAAAAAGACTTTCATAGGAACACGTGAGATCCCTTGACCCTGAATGATCATTACATTAGACAGAGAATTCTTAGGGAAGGATTCGGTCCTTGGGGGTCTCTCCCTCCCTCCCTCCCTCCCTCCCTCTCTCTCTCTCTCTCTTTCTCTTTTTCTGTTTCTCACACTTTCTGTTTCTGTTTTTTTCTGTTTTTCTCTCTTCTCTCTTTTTCTCTTTCTGTTTCTCTCACACTTTCTCTGTTTTTCTAATTTCTCTTTTTCCCTCTCTGTTTCTCTTTTTCCTATTTCTCTCACACTTTCTGTTTCTCTGTCTCACGCACACACTTCCTCTGTGTTTTTCTCTCTCTCTCTGACTCCCTCACTGGCAGAACTGAATTCTGTCATTTTCCTTTCTCCATGCCCGTGCTCATGGAGAGAAATGAAATTGCAAATTAATCTCATCTGCTTTAACTTTTCCGCCTGGAAAAAGGGAATGCCGTACATGAAGACATTCTGACACCTCCGACTGATGGGTGGGAGGAGGACTAGATATGACCCACAGGAGAGCTAACCTAAACCACAAGGCAGCTTTAAACTCTCGGAGCTTCAGAAAAGTCCCTTCAGAAGCAAAGCAACCGGGTGTGTGTGTGTGTGTGTGTGAAGATCCTGTCCAGGGCTTCGCCATAGAATCATTTCAAGCAGACCACCCACACAAACGCACCCACAATTACACAGCGGGACTAGGAAAGGAAAACGAAACGGGAGCTCTGCGAGGTAGAAGAGACATCCCCCAATGTTTAAAAAGAGACTATCCCTCTCCGACTCCTTCCCGGCCATCAAAAGCCTTCCTACGCTTTGAGAGTTGCACTGCGGTTAAAAGTACCCAAGTGAAGTCTTGGAATGCAAATTAAAACAAAATGTTGGGCCGTTTGCATAATTTAAAGTACCTTATGCTGGCGAATGGAGCCTCTTGCCTCTTCGATCCCTTGGCTTAAAGGAGGCAAGAGACGGACCTTCTGGCTTCAGAGACAGCTCTGCCAATGGATGGCTCAGACTGACTTCAAGGTCCCAAGAGACCTACGGAGCAGGGATTGTCAACCTTGGCAACTTTAAAATGGGTGGATTTCAACTCCCAGAATTCCCCAGCCGCCTTTGCTGGAGCTTTGCTGGCTGGGGTATTCTGGGAGTTGAAGTCCACCCATCTTAAAGTTGACAAACACCGCTAGAGAGAGTAAGGGAGATGACCTTGATGGAGAAATGGAAGATCTCTTGCCTTCCTGACTCTCTAGCAGGAGAAACTGGGTGACACATGGTCAATCTCAACTATGGGTCTGGTATGGTCTCTCCATCTTTCTGTTTTGTCATAACAGTCCAGATACATTTTCTCCCCTAGTCACAGCATCATTCTGGGTGATCTTGTCTGGATTCAAGGTCTTCCTTGGTCAGGAGACCCCCAACATTCTTGGACTGAGGAAAACAATCTAGGGTTAGGCTTGGCACCTGCAGAATGGAGTTAAAAATAAGTCAAGATGGCTGCTGGGATGGCGCGATGGGAACTCCACCCACTTGTTAGGTGTGCGACACCCCTTGGGAGATTGTTGCATCTCATTCCCATCTATCGAAAAGCTACTGGAAGTAGGAATGAGAGGTCCTTGGTGCTCTCTGAGCTTCTTTTCTTGCAGACGTTTCATTGCCAAACTTGGTCACATCATCAGTGTCAGAAGGAGTGAGGTTTGTTCTCATTTTCTATACCAGTGGTTTGTCCTGAGTGATCTCGGTTGTTCCTGGATTAGGTTGCTGGTTGCTGCTGTCTTGTGTGTCAGACTTGGTAGTTTCTTGTTTGGAGCACCGTTTACTTCTTGATTGTTGGTCTAGTACTAATCTTGGTGTTACTCTCTGCTCATCTGGGGGTTGATTGATTTCTGGTAATGACGTATTTTGGGTTTTTTTGTTTTCTTTTTGGCTTTTGGATTGTCCCTTTTGAATGTTATGTAGATGAAGTTTATTTATTTGTATCCTACCTTTATTATTTTTACAAATAACTCGGAAAATATATCCAACACACCTTCCTCCTCCTATCTTCCCCGCAACAACAACGCTGTGAGGTGGGTTGGATTGAAAGCGAGTGACTGACCCGAGGGCATTCATCTGGCTTTCATGCCTAAGGCGGGACTTGAACTCACGATCTCCCACTTTCTAGCCTAGCACCTCTAGACCAAACTGGCTTTCCGTGTGCCTCTGTAATGTGCCTGCATATCTCTATGTGCCTGCAAACCCCTTCTCCCTGCTAGGACTGATGACGTTACCTAGTTGGCTCATGAAACGTCTGCAAGCAAACAGCCAGGCTCAGAGAGCATCAAGGACCCTCACAGTTCAACCCTGAGCTGCAAATATTCTCTCCCACAGGCAGGAGTGTGTTTTGCACAAGTGAGCAAAGACAGAAGGCAGCCAGTCCCGTCCTCACGGCTTCTCTGGGGAAACCCTGCCACACTTCTTATGTGTGCAGTGTGTGTGTGTGTGTGTGTGTGTGTGTAGTTCATCTTAGTGGGTGTTCCAAAACAGGCCGCCTTTAACAGCCCCGACCCCAGAATGCAGAGAGACCGGCTGCCTTTTAAAATATGCCATGTCAAAATGCAGGAAGCTGGTTTTTCCTTTG